CACCCGGGCCACCTCTGGGGAAGGCAGCAGCAGGAAGGATGCTACCCTGCATGTTCCATGGACCCCCCCCCCCAGGTCTAGCTCCTCCCTGGGGGAGGAGGATTCTGACGTAGAGGCTCTGGCCCCAAGGCCCTCTTCTCCCAGTGACCTCTACTCGGGGCATTGCAGGGACAGAGGCGAGTTGACTGTAAACTGCTTGGTAAATGACCACAAACCAGCTCAGACCGCCCCAGCTGCCAACACACTGACACCCCAGGGCTGGCCCACAAAGAGGGCAGGACTGGGAGAGATTGGACCAGCCCAAGCCTCTTCCCTGCTCTGAACTCTTGTGGGAGGAGAGGAGGGGCTGGGGGCTGGGAGGCTGAGTGCCTGGACCTGGAGCTCTCCATGTTAGGCTCAGCAGGGCCTCAGATATCCCCCCCAAACCCTGTCTTCTTTGCTCACAAATTGTACAATTGAGAAAACGGAGGATCCTTGTCTCTCCGAGTCTGTCTCTGAACTGCTATGTGACCTTGGAAGAGTTACCCAACCTCTCTGGGTATGGAAGTTTTACATCCTGACACGTCCATTCCACAGGGTTGTCGGGAGGATAAACAGGAACAACGCAGCAAACAGCAGTAACAACGCAGCGCTTTATCTAATTATAACACTCTGTAACTCACAAGGATTCCCATACCCCAGCTCTGATCATAATAACCCACAAGGCTGCAGAAGAGACTTGGGGCCCCATTTTGCTGATGAAGATACTAAGGCTCAGAGAGACAAGGTCACACAGAGTTTGGAACAGAGCTGGAGCCAGAACACAGAACTCCAGAACCAGGGCTCTTGCCTAAACTAGAGGGCTCACCAGGCTAGGAATATATAAAACACTGAAAGAGCACATGCACGGGGGTTAGGCCTGGCCCACCCCAAGACTCTCAGCGGCTCCGGGACCCAGGAGGGCCCAAGGTGGAGGACCGCCCTTTACAGTCTGCAGCCCAGACTCTGCTACTCAGCTCTGGGGCCTCGCCTTTCCGAGCCTTGGCTTCTCTGCTCTGCCGTGGAGCCACAGAGATGGGCACCACAGACCAGGAGAGCCTGGTGCGGCGAGCACTCGTCAGCCTCTGGGACCACGCACCAGGACAGGTCTGTGCTCCACTGTCTCCCCGGTGACTCTGGTTCTGGCCTCTGGGCCCAGTGCCTTCTGATCAGCCCTCAGAGTGAGTATGGACGGGTGAGTGAATGGAGGCTACTGAGAGCAGAAGAAACCCAGGAGTCTAGTGGAAGGATGGAGAGGTCTAAGGATGGGGACAGGCGCATGAAATGAGGCACAGCCAGCACCCTTGGCCCCAGCCCATCCCACCCCCCGCCCAGCCCCTGCACTGCCTACCTTGGGGTAGCACTGGCACATGCTCCAGATAACGCCTCCCATCACCATGACACTGCCCATGGCGTAGAAGGTGCCGTAGACCTGGGGCCGATCGTGGCTCATGAGGAAGGTGCCGAGGGACAGCAGGAACAGCCCCAGCACAATGAAGCCAATGCGGAAGGTCTTCTCATCAGCCATGGCCACCTGGCCAGGCCCCGGCCGGTGCACCCCCAGCAGAGGGAGTGCGGACAATCACATGCTAACCCCCACAGGCACGCCAGGGAGGGGCGAAGCTCTGGGACTGCTGCAAATTGAGGCTTAAAGTTAAAGAGAGCAGGATCCCTTGGGGGCCAGTTCCCGATCCCAGGTCCAACAGCTCAGCCCGGCTGGAAGTGGCATGCACCAATGGACAGGCACGCCTAGCCGTCCACCTTCACTCCTGGCCCTCTCACCTTCCCTCTGGGCCCAGCCGCCCCGACTGTGTGTGTAGATCTGAGGGAGGGAGGAGCAGGGAGGGACAGGGAGGCTGCAGAGGCTGGGCCCCAGCCAAGGCTTTGACATCACCTCATTTGCCTAGTGTGGGGCTGAGTGTGTGACCAGGCGGCTCCACACCTGCCAGCCATGGGAAGCAAGGAACCGTCCTGCAGGTTGGAATGCTGCTGGAGGAGGCCAGCATCCTGCAACTTGACATTGTAGAGCCCTGTGCTCATCTGGGGTTCAGCAGGAACAGTCCATATCTACTGAACAGTGACTTCTAGAAACATTACAGCTGCCACGGCACTGAAGTGGAGTCTCACAAAGCAAGGAGTCACCACTATTCCCACTTTATAGATGAGGACATTGAGGCCCAGATGAGTAACCTGACCAACGTCACACAAAGTAGAAATAGCAGAGCAGCTGGAACAGGAGCCCAGAGCCCATGCCCTGGCCACGGTGCAAACCACTGCACCACAGCACGGGGTGAAAGGGGTCCAGGGTCTGGGTTTGGATTCTGGCTCCACCATCTTGGATAGTGTGGTCTTGATCAAACTAGCTGCCTGTGCCTCCGTGTCCTCCTCTACAAGATAGGGATAATAAGAGTCCCTCCCAGGACTGGAGCTGTCTCCAGGCCTAGCCTCCTCCATCTCCTTCATATACTATGCACCATCCAGACCTTCTTATAACGAGCTGCCCCTAACCCCAAAAGGTTGTTGTGAATTGATGTCTCTGCAGGGTGTGAATGACCCAGAACAACCTCCTAAAGTCCTCACAGCCCAGCCTGAGAAGGTGCCTTGATCCAGAGAATAACATTCTACTGGTGGATTGTCAGTTCTGGGACAGTGGATGGGAGAAGTCAGATTCTCTCCCAGGACTGCAGAATGAGGGCCAGGGGCATCTCAAGAGAACATGCCTGGAGTTCTTGCAGGGTTGAACTGCTGATGTAGGGTGGAGGGGTGTCATTTGGATACCGACTTTCAAGGTTTGGAAATTGTGGTCAGCACTTTCCCCCTCCTCCTTGGCAGCCTGTGCTGTTCCCTCAGGCCACACCTGGGCTCACAACATGCACTCTGCCTGGCGTTCCTCCCAGGGACGCTTTTTCCAGGAGGGGCTTCTCCATCACTGGTTCAGTCTGCCTGTTACAGATAGTCGAGGGGGTCCCCTGGCACAGAGTGCAGAGGACCCTGCCCAAGAGATCACTGAAGGCTAAGATATTGGATCACCTCCAGATCTGGCTCCAGAGTAAATTTAGGCAGGTGGGCGTGAGTTTTGTCACCTGTGAATTGGAAATGACATAAGGGAGGGGAAGTAATCTGTGACTATTCACAAGTCAGGTCCTTTGTTTTACAGAGGCTCAGAGATAGGAAGCAATAAATCCAGGGTCAGCTGATGTTGATCCCAGAAAAAGAGACCAAAACCCAGAGGAACGGCAGCCTACCCAGTCCTAGAATCTGGCAGAGGGACTGGCCACTGAATGGATTGCTGTGGTCCAGCAGGGCCTCGTGCGCCCCCTGATGGCCGCCACAACACGTGCTCACACCCTCCTGTCACATCCTGCGGGTCTGTGCCTCGGTCCTGCAGCCCCCTAGGAGGTGGCAACAGCCAGGAGTGGGGTGGGGGGCGCAGGGATGAGGAAAACGAGACCGAGGAGTGTAGGGGTTGCTCAATATCTTCCCAAACTGAGCAGGAGGCTGAGCGGGGACCAGAACTAACGCACCCCCAATCCCAATGTGGAGGGACCTGACTTTTAGCCATTCCTGGGAGGCCTTCCTGGGTCACCCGTACACTTTCTCGCAACTCTTTATTCAGCCTTCTTTACCTTTTTTTTTTTTTTAAATCTGAGTC